GTTAAAAGAGAGAGAAAAAAAACTGTCGACGGATCCTAAAAAGAGTTATGTTGACTTCAAATTTTAAGAGTCTGAAAATTATTAATTAAGGTAATACTATTAAAAATATAATTAATACGCTTATTATTTAAACACAAAGTCATTGACACATGTAAAAGCATACAAAAGTTTTAAACAAGCGCAGGTCCCCACATCACACACACAGAAAAAAATGTACATATATAAAGAACATGTAAAACACTTGAAATGTATAAATAAATATATAATTATAAAAAAAGAACGGAACAATATTTTTAACTCATCTTCTTTAACATTTTCTGCTCATCAATTCAACACTTTTTTCTGAAAAAAAGAAAAAATTAAAATTTTTATAAAAAAATGAAAAAAATGTATGCATATACATATACCGGGGTGGCCACATAAAAGGGGACGACACTACTTCTTTACAAGTTTTGACCATTTTTTTTTTTATTTATTAAATTTTTTTTTTACAAAAATATAGTTTATGGCACAACGAAAAACCAAGTAACTCAAAGTTTCAAACCTTGTACAAGATTTGTAAAAAATCGAAAAATTTCAAGAAAGAGTTATCAACACTTCCCAACTTTTTATAGAACTTTTAGAAAATATTCGGTTATGCAGCTTTATAGCCCTCTAAATTTCAATATAACATTGTGCAAGTTTTAAGTTAATATTCCAACGTACTCGTACTTTGTGTAGAATAAAACGAATACATAATAAATAAACAAAATTCTAAAATTGAATGGGCTATAAAACTGCATACCCGAATTTTTAATGGATTTTTTTTCTGATAAAAGAGTTTTAAATTTCGATGACCATTTTTTGAAATTTGCCGATTTTTCATAAAACTAAAGTTTTATACTTTGAATTGCATGGTTTTCGTTGTAGAGTAAACTATTTTTTTGTAAAAAATTAAATAAATGTCCGAAACTTATAGAGGTTAGCCTCCTTAATTATGTGGTCACCACTGTATATCATGTAATTATATAATGTTTTTTTTAAGGATTTTTCTTCTCATCTGAACCATATGTAAAATATATTTATTTTGTTTTTTAATAAAAGTGTATGTAATAAAATATATTAAATGTATTAGAATAAAAAAATATGAAAAAGTTTAACTCATAAAACTGTTTACATACATATATAGTATGTATTTCAATTAAAAAAAAAAAAAAAAACATAAAAAGAACCATAATACAAATTATGCATACATGTATGTATGTATTTACACGATTAAACAAATAAATAGACAACAAACCTCACGATTACAATGAAAGAAAAGGGCGTTACATTTTAATGGAAACAAAAGCATCCAAAGTAATCCTTTTCAACACAGAAAAAAGAATACGAAGAAGCAGCAAGAATGTGAAATAAATTAAAATGCTGGTGAAATTTAGAAAATAAATTTTAAAATAAATAATTGCAAAAATTATAAAAAATGCATTTTCACTTTGCTTCCTCAAAGGGCTATCCAAGTCAATTGTACTTTTTAAAGCGCGTAGCGATATATGATGACTTGACTTACTATTTACATTTGTAAGTACTTGGAAGAAAGGTAGCCGCCCTGCAGGAACACCACCCAGACACATCCGACACCCTTTTCCGGAGCTTGTTAAAAATGTATGCTCTGACGACTCCTAGACTGAAAATTTAACTGCATTCGGCTGGCATTTTAAGTGTATGTAACCGAAGAAAACGCTATTGTAGACGATGTCTCCCCCATCTCTGAATATACATACATACACATATGTAGTTCTACTGCATAAAAGGCAACGGCGACGAAAAATTTCTAACAGAGTGTGGTCTAGCCCAGGCAGGTTAGGGCACTAGGGCCCGTCTCTGGCAGAACGTTACTGAAGTCACCCGCGATATCTGCGAATTCCTTGAATTTCAGTGCTTTTTCAATGGTGCTAAACAAACTATGCAAAGCTGTGTCTAACGACCTCCCAGTAGACATGTATAAAGCTTTACAATTTATTTACACATGTATATATAAATAAATCAACTTCCCGAACCTGGAAAAAGAAAGACGTAAGGCCTATTGGCCGAAAGTCTTCGATGGCTTCACGGAGGAGTGTCTGTCTGCCTTTGGAAGTCCAAGGTGGAACAGCGCATGCCGATGGATGCTTGGCCAGGGAAGAGCCTGGTCGCTAATATGCGAACTCTGGATACCGGCCGCCCTCCCGTTTCAACTAGACTTACCGTGGGATCGGCGTTCTATTCCCTATCCAGTAGAACCATGGGAACAAAATAAGTTCCAGTTATCAAGGCTGAATTTGATCTGGACGTTAATCTAGTGATATTTCCCTCCAGCTCAGCAATGAGAAATTTCTGAACAATCACTGCTCAGAATCAAATCTCGATCGCTAGCTGGAAGATATTGCCCGGGCTGGCAAGTGTCACTTTGTACATTTAGTACTGCTCATTGACAATGAATCAATGACGAAATTCACTTCGGTGAGTATTCAGATAGCCTACAGATCCGGCCACATAAAACTACATCTACCGAACACTTCGCCTAAAAAGAAGCCGCAGAGTGTTGAGACGGAGTCGGGGAAGCCAACAGATGCCTCGGCAGAAACTGTGTAGGCAGTGCCTGCGACAGACCACGGTCCTCGTCCAAAATCGCTTCAACGTATGCAATGGGCACCATACATGTGCTTCAGGCTAATCTTCATCATGCCAGAGAGCCATCGGCTGCCTTATACAGATTAGCCAGCGAACGGAGCTTCGCTATTGGCCTACTCCAAGAACCGTGGTATACTAAAGGCTAAGTAACAGGACTCAGTCGGTCAGGTAGGTCAATATATGACCGGGTGGGAGGTAATCCTCCAACTGCCCTCCTGTTCGTAGAAAATATTAATCACACTCCTCTTTCTCCTTATATTTCCAGGGATGTCGCTGCCGCTGTAGTGGACAGTATTAATATGAGTGAAAGTGGTCTAGACAAAACGCTTAGCAAAGCTACCCGAGCCATGTGGGCCTGTCGAAGACTTTTCGGTCGAACATAGGGTCTTAATCCCAAATTAATGGCTATATCAATTTAGAGTCCGTCCGATTGTAATATGTGCCTCCACAGTCTGGTGGCGTTGCAAAAAAACTGCCGTTTAACTTGTGAACAAACTCCAAAATGGCTCTATTGTCGGTGACAAGAGCAATGAGAACGTGCTCAACCGTGGCCTTAGAGTCTCACCTGGGTTGGACTCCTCTCTAAATTTTTGTTCAAGCAGCAGCAGCTTCAAGGAATTTGCAAATGCAAAATTCTGACTGTGCGCTTAAAAACAACACAACATAAAAGTATTTTGAGCAAAATACCAGGTCTAGGAATCTGCGAGTCCTCCGACAATATGCCAATGAAATCTGCTTTGGAAGGAAATATCAAGTAAAAATACCAGATCGAGATGTCTGGTCTATGGCCTACCTGAACTATATCCCAGGTATGTACACTGGTACAACATATGGAACAGATATGGAGGGCAGAGCAGGAGCGGGTATCTTCGGACCTGCCACAAACTTTCTATTGCGATGGGTACCTGTATTTCAGGCCGAGGTGCTAGAAATCTCTATTTCTGCCAAACTGAACCTTGATAAGGCTTTAAAAGGCGCGTTTCTAGTTATCTTTTCTGATAGCCAAGCTCGAGGCTCGACAAGGAATTTTTTGACACTATCCAACTTTTGGCCGCAAGGAACATGGTATTACTGTGCTGGGTACCAGAACACTGCGGGATCGTAGGTAATGAGGCAGCCGATGAATTGGCAAGGGAAGGCTCATCGTCTGTACTTGTGGGGCCGAAACCGTTTCGAGGACTCCTTTGGTCCTCCTCCTCCTCGGCGCTTATAATCGAAGCGTAGGTAAACTCAGGACGCAGGAGGTACTGGGGAGGGTAGGCAGCCTTAGATAGGCCAACATTTTTGGTTATCCTTTTGCGAAAAAAGATACAAATCTCATGAGCAGAGCCAACATCAAATTGCTAAGTGGCCGTAATCACTTGCGCTCTCACATGCACTGGATTGGTCTTTCCATAGAGGCGGATTGGCGCTTTTGCCTTGCATATCAGGAGACGTCTGACACATTACATATGTATATGTGATTATCCAGCATTGGTTAGACTAAGGCTGCAATACTTCAGTTCTTCCACAGTCGATACCTTTAAGGTTAGGAATTCATCTACAAAGAAACTTTTAGTTTTTATAAGCGAGGCTAATAACATCTTGGTCCGTCAGGGTTAGGAACCAACATAGAATACAAAAGATCTTCTAGGTCGCGGTGCCGCTTGCTTCTGTTGCACCTTAAAAAATGTACATAACATTTAAATGTTGTGCTACTATTGAGGTGATCTTCTTATTTATTTTGTCGCAAACCTTATATGTACATACATATGTATCTCCTAATTTATTCTACGTAGATAGTACCTTATTCTTTCAGTGTATTTTCCGTAAGGCAAAGCTTTTCATTCACAAAACTTTGTAAAACCGCACTGATTTAACTACTTATACCACATTTTCGTATACACATGGCATTTGGCCAACGAAAAGCTCACGATGCGCGCGGCTGCATAGGTTTATTTTTGGCCGTGAAAATGCCAAAGCTTCAAACGACACACACACACAATTACATATACTTACATGCGTGTAAAAGGTGTACACAAGAATAGCGAGAGCAAAACAAAATGCAATAAGCAGAAGTGAAAGGAAAAAAGGGGAAGAAGGAGCGTACAAACTGAGTGTAGCCCAATTATTTGGTGAATTATTTAAAGCCATATTTTATTAAACACATACACATACGTACATATAATATGTACGTCTTCCTACTAAAAAAAAAATGCAAGCGGCCTTAACCGCTATCACTCAGCCTCAGCTATTGACAACATCCGCCGGTTAGAGCGTTTAGCTTTTTTACACGCTTCTAAACTTTTGTATCCTCGCCAGCTATGGCTGCTGTTTGTCAAGTTCGGCTCAGTTGTGTGCAGAAGCACCACGGAAGCGGACGTGATATTTAACGGTGGCATTTGGAAGCCGTCAATTATGTGGCGCTTGCGTTTTTGTGCTTGCAGCATTTACTCGCATGTTCTATTTATTGTGTATGTGTTTGTGCACATTTTATAAAATAAAATTTAATTAAAGAAAATTCGTGGCTATGTAGAGTTTGTCTAAGTGTGTACAGTCATTTAAAATATATACACATGTATATTCATAATTGAATTAAAAAAACGATATGCAGTTATTTAGTGTATTTTTTCGATAAAATGTGCCAATAAAAACGCTCAACGAATATTATTTATTTGGAGTATTTGTTTCAGCTTTTTAATGTCTTCAAGCTCAAATTCGGGAAAAAGCATAAGTTTCAGTGAAAAAGTTTAAGTTATCCTTACATATTTACATACCCTGTTACTTCTACATATCAACTCTACAGCTACATACGAACATATCAGCCTACTAAGTATCCACTCCTGCTAAACACATACATACATACAGACTTATAAGGCAACGTCATCACAATCGCGTCAGCAGGTGAGTGTCCTTGAACCAACATTTACTATGTAGTACTTGTACTCTTACTTACATATATGTATACATACATAAGTATTTGTACATAAAAATGCCTCTATCTGCTCCGATTGCATGGTTCTGAAAATGTGATGGCATTCCCATACATATCGAAATTATATTGAAGGTCACTTTCTGATACCTAGTACATACATATGTCAGTCAATTCTGATCAGATTTAGCTCTGTATATATATACACACCTTTGTATGTACATTAGACTGTGTCAAATAAAACGAATATTTTTTTTCTTTCGGTCCCATATGAAAATTTCGGTGTTGGGCACACAAAAAATAATTGTGGTAAAATTTCAGCCCTCTATCTTCACTATCACTATCGAACACGCAAGAGGAGCGGAGGGATCTTTTTTAAACAAAAATATTTAGTAGCCACTACTTCCCATTTATATTTTGGAGATTTCGTAAATTGATGTCTGGCTTAGGCCAAGCTCTTCTTATTTGGCTCTAAAACCGTTTGTCGAATGGAACTGAAACCAAAAAACGACAAAAAAGAAGGAACCTTCTGAACAGGGCTGCCAACTATTGAGGATAAAAAGTACAAAAAAGTGCCTATTTAGGCGACTAACTAATAGCGCCTAGACGCATGCTACAACCTCGATGGGCCCGCATTAGGGATGCCAAAAAATCCGGAAAATTGGGATCTCGGGATTTCGGGATATTTTTTAGGTAATCCCGGGATTCAAATTGAGTCATAAATTTTCTGAATATGAGTAAAAATTCAATATCTGAAAGCATTTAAACATACCATTAAATAAAACTATTTAAAATTTACGATAAACTGATTGTAAAACTCATATATCGCTAGCTTAGAGTGAAAAAATGCTAACTTCACTTTTAATGAAAAATCATATTTTGATATAAGAGGCTAGATAAATTAAAATTGCATCGTTTCGAAAGGGGTAAAGGTCCTTGTTTTATGTTTTCTCGTTTACATTCAATGAAAGGAAAATTTGCTAAGGCTAAAAAAAGCTCCGAAAATTCGATAAGGCCAAAAAAGTTCGAAATCTTTTAATATTTTTTATTTTATTTTTTTAATTATATCGAATCCCTCCGATTCGTATGGAGTTTTGCTTTGCTTTAAACAGGCAAAATGTTGTATTCAAAGTTTTGCGAAATACTTGAAGAAAATGGCTATACGAAGTTTTTTCCTCTCCTGTACAATTTTTAAATTGGGACTTAGCAACTTTGCACTCTACGCTAGCGATATTTATTAAATCAGACAAATTTTAAAGTAAAACATTTTTTTAATTGTATTTAAAAAACCATGTGATTGAGGAACGTATACATCACAAATAATAATGTAAATACCAGGTACTTTTGAAAGTGACGAATAAAAAAAAAAAAACATAAAACAAAAATATACAAAAACAATTTCTCTAAACATGTTTATTCTACTCTATAAAGAAATGGCGAATGGAGAATTTTTTGTCATTTTTTTTCGTAATTTACTAGAAATTTTGAGGGTGTACGAATCAAACGGATCTCAGAATCGGATTCAGCGGGTCGAAATACATGTTGGTAGTTGGGTCTGGTTAAAAACATACACCCTCTTTTTAGTCGGTGTTGTTATTATTGCACTTAAAATGTTTTCGTAAGAGCAGAAAAGCATTCAAAGCGGAGTCTTTAAGCTTGACCTGCAGTTTTTACATGCAAAACCTACTGATGAAAAACATATTTCGGCATCAACACTGTTGGCTGAACTGTCAAAAGGTAGACATAATCCATTTGAAGATAATGACCCCTATCTCCTCCATTACAAAATATTTGAACTTCGTTTACCAGCACGTCGGTCAAATTATAAGTTTTTCGATTTGAGGAAGTTTTGAGTAGATTGATCTAAAAAATTATCTAACTTTTCCTTAAAACCTACTGTTTCGTTTACATTAGCGATGCTATGAGTAAATTCATTGAAATCTTTTTCAAAAAAGGCTCAGACTGCAATTTAAAAGTACAGCTTCAAGCTTTTTGTTAATTGCAGTCAAAGCGGCATTTTACAAAAATCATACTTCAAAATTCATAAACAAATTCTTACTATCAATTCGATATTTCAAAATTTTCTGGATCCCGGGATTAATGCAAGCAAATCCCGGGACGTCAAAAACACCGGGATCCCGGGATTGGCATCTCTAGACGGCATACAAATGACAGCACAGATAAGTATGTGTACGGCTGCATGTACAAAAATTTCCGTTATGATATTTGGGGTTTTGCATATGCTTTTAAGTGTCATTTAACAAAAACTAGGGTGGTCCAAAAATACATGCGGGGAAAAAGTTTTAAATGTAAAGCTCTCACCCCTTAGGATTTTTGTTTATGGAAATAAAGAATACCCGGGTTTTTTGTTTCAAAAGAAATTATATTTAGAATAGTGTTGGGCAGTATCGATACCAAAAGTACTCAGAACTCGATTCTCAAAAGAATCGACAGCACTCGATTTTTAAGAGTATCGGTACTGAGTACTCCAAAGAACTCACTCACAATATAACTTAGTATTAAGTGTCGAATAGACTTAAAAAGTACTGAATTTNTCGATTTTTAAGAGTATCGGTACTGAGTACTCCAAAGAACTCACTCACAATATAACTTAGTATTAAGTGTCGAATAGACTTAAAAAGTACTGAATTTTATTTACATTTAACGGTATTCAGAAATGATTATACTCAATTTGCAGTTTCAATAATTTTCAAGTACAATACTTGTAGCCAGTACAGTTAGGCATTCATTTGACATAATTTGGGATTCATATATTAATTTGAATTAAATACAGCCAGCTTGTGAGATTTCTACACTAAGTATTGAAATGTTACCAATATATATGTATATTTAAAGAATGTACTCAGTACTCTGGAAAATACCCGATCCTTAAAAGTTTCGATACCAAAGAACTCGACCCTCAAAAGTACTCGATACTTCCCAAGACTAATTTAGAACTGCCTGAAAGCCATAAAGTTTTCTGTGCATTTTATATGGGGAAAACACACTTCGTCGTAGAAATTGTATATTCCATACTTTTCGATCGGAAAACTGTTTTTCCTGAGGATACTTCCAACAAATATACCCAATTGTTTATTTAACCATTTTTTAATAGTTTAATGCAACGGCGGACCAATAAAAAATCGGTAGTATAAAAAATAGTAAAGTAAATAATTTGTTATTATTATTGGAAGTCTTCTGAAGAGCAACTGAGTTTTCCGATCGAAAAATATTTATTTTCAAGATTTCTACAACATTTATACGAAAAAACTTTTTTCCCCATATAAAATACATGAAGTTTTATAAAAAACGCGGGTGCCTTTTTCCATTTAGAAAAATCCTAGAGGGTGAGAGCTTAAAATTTAATTTTTTTTTACCACCCTTATACTCAGCCTAGTCTGACGCATCCTCCGTGCAATATTTCCGGCATTTTTTGCTGACTCTGCATGGCTTACAACCAATACATACATATGTACATCCCAGCAAAAAACTTTGATTCTTTGATTCTCAGTTTTTTGATTTAATGATATTTTCAAGATGAACTACAACTGAAAAACTACCATTATGCCTTAAAACATCTTCAATTTTTTAAAACTACTCAAAATTTTAAATCTGCGACCCTTTTCGTACATTTTGGGTTTTTGTATTTTCGTTTGTTTTAATGATTTGGTTTTACGTACACAAGGTACACATCCACATTGTAATTTAAATAAAATATTGACGGATTAATGAAATTTTTTGGTGCGCAAGGACGAATAGGTATTGAAAATGTCCTTTTAAAATTCTGTCCTTGAATATCCCTAAAAATGTTTAATATTTAGTTCTGAAAAAATTATACGTTAAGAATTAATATACACACGACCACATCCTCGAATATCGTTCTTGTAACTTTATTAAGTAGTATTCAAGAAAAAGATACCAATTTATACGATATCGCCCAAAAAACAACGCGGCGCATTCGTAGTCAGACACTAAAGTTAGTTGCAGCGTTTTGACATAATTTTCAACAGAATATCTGTCGACTCTGAATATGCTTCACAATTAGTACAATAAGACGATGCTTTCGCAAAATTTGAACAATGTGGAAACCAAATATTCACACCATCGTAAACAACGTGTTTACCGTCTTAAACAACACTCTCATCGCCTTCTTGACCTTATAACAACAATAAAATATCATTTTATCAGTTTCCACCTTCGTATATATAATACGGTGTTTAAATGAGGCGATTTTACAGACAACTTTTAGTTGAAAGCAAAAATCTCCTGGTGCGAACGGCCTTTCAACTAATCGCTTCCAATGAAGTTGCGGTGCAGCCAACTTTTAATTCAACTAAACGTCTATAAAATTTACTTTAAAATCGTCTCATCTAAATCAAGAAAAATGCGGATGAAGAAGTCTTTTAGGTCTACAAAGATAGCATCGTCCGATTCATCTAGAACAAAAATGTTTCAAACAAGGAAGAGTTACTCTGCAATGTGGCGATGGAAAATGTATATATAGATACTTTTCATTTCAATCAGCATTAGAAGTTCTATTAGCTCCTACACTCGGTTTTTGAAAGTCTAAGCTTCCGTGAACCACTTTTATTCCATATTTTTGGTCTATGTGCGTTCCTATCGAAAGCATAAATATTTCGGTAATGATTAACTCTGGTGCTATTTTCGGCAATTCCCGCACTTTCAGTTCTTCTTAATATGGTGGGGTCAGAACTAGGGATGTTAACTTTTCAGCCTTTTCCGATCCCGGGAATTCCGGGATGTCGTTATCACAACCCCGCGATCCCGGGATTTAGATATTCATTACTTTTCAACAACTTAAATCGAAAAAATTGCTTCTATATTGTTTGAGAAGCTCTACTACCATAAAATAAATAATAAATAAATGGGTTTGAAACCTGCTTTTTTATTTAAAGTGCCGTTTTTTAGTTTTCTGACGTCAGGATTTATTTTAAAGGACTTTGTAATTTCA